GTTGCACTGGCTGTCTTTCAGAGACCTGGGTTCAATTCCCAGAATCTGCATTGCATCACACACCTGAGTGTAACTCCTAATCAAGGACTTCTGACACACTCACACGGATGTATATGAAAACACCAAAGCACATAAGAAAAAATAAATAAATCATTTTTAATAAAGGATCTAAAAAAGCAAATATAACTAATACATGACTGTTATGATCCTCAGAATTCTAGAGTCTGATGCAGGAGGATAGGAAGCTAAGGACAGCTTGGAATATGTATGTATGTATGTATGTATGTATGTTTATATATGTATGATGTTGTCTTACACAAAACAAAACAAATGCAACATCAAAGCCAACACCAACAAAAATGATAAAAGGAAAAGTGTTTAGCCAGGCAGTGGTAGCACATGCTTTTAATCCCAGGCATCCAGAAGCAGAGGCAGGTGGATCTCCATGACTACAGAGCACAATGGTCTACAGAGCTAGTTGAGGCACAGGATCCAGAGAAAACCTGTCTCCAATAAAACAAACAAACAGAACAAAAAACCAAAATAAACAAACAATCAAAAAGAAAAATACAAAAAACAAATCAAACAAAATAAATGTATAATTCATCAAAGTCTATTTATCTAAAGTTTAGTGACATGTGTATGTGAAACCAATTCTTCATTGCAGATATAAATGTTCATGGCAGCTAATATTTTTATATATGCCTGTATTGTGTTTGCAAACATTGTATTTAATGGTCTTGTATCTATGTTCATCAGGAACATTACCTTATTTGTTGTTGCTGTCTCTTTACCTAGTATGCTATCGCAGTCATGCTGTCTCTGTAGAAGTAATTTGGTGGTACTTCATATGGTTTTTTGTTTTGCTTTGATACATGTTTTATTTCTTTTTATTTATTTTTTTTAGTTTTTCGAGACTGGGTTTCTCTGTACTTTTTTGGAGCCTCTCCTGCAACTTGCTCGGTAGACCAGGCTGGTCTTGAACTCATAGAGGTATGCCTAAGTCTGCCTAACAAGTGCTGGGATTAAAGGCTAGTTGCATGTGCCATCTATGCCTGGCCTTGCTTTGATACTTGAAGAAGGATAGATTAAGGTTCTCATTTTAATGTCTGCTAGGATTCTGTTTGAATCCTTCAAACCCTTGTGTGTTCTTTAGCCAGAGGGATTTTTAATTACCATATCAAATTCTTCATTTGTTATGGGTCTGTTTAGGTTTCTGACTATTCATTTTCCCTTTTGGAATTTGAGACAGGATTTCTCCATTTGGCCCTGACTTTCCTGGAACTCATTCCAGAGAGGAAGCCTGCCTCTGATTCCCAGATGCTTGTGCCAGTGCTGCCCAGCTTTGGTTTTTAACTTCATTTTTTTCTTCCTTTTTTTCCGTTTAATTTAGAAATAAGCTTGCTTTACTTGTAAATCCCTGCTGCATCTTTCTCCCCTCCTTCGATGCCACACCACAACTAGGCCTCCCAGCCCCCCACCCAATCTCCACTCAGATTCCAAGGGAGGGTGATTCCCTCCATGGAGGATCTCCAGAGTCTGCCATCTCATCCAGGGCACGGCTTAGGCCATCCGCCAAAATTCCAGGCTGAGAGAGCTTCCTTCACTGTGCCATGCACATTCAAAGTCCATTTGTACACCAGGGATAAATACTACCTAAGGCCCCATAGACTGCATAGGCCTCCTCACAGACACCCACATACAGGAGGTCTGGATCAGTCCCATACTTTCCACACAACCATCAATTTGGCTTACAAGATCTCCCCCTTCTTCAGGTCAACTCATTTTGTTGGTTAAACCAACTCTGTCTCAACCCTTTTGTTCATCAGTTCTCCCTTTCTTTCACTGGATTCCAGGAGTTCAGTTCAGTGTTTGGCATTGTGTGACTGCCTCTGCTAACATATCGCTGGATGAAGGTTCTGTTTCCCAGAATCCCGGGCAGTAGGATTGTATGCTGACATTCCCCTGATTCATGTATAAAATCCATATATGAGTGAGTAAATACCATGTTTCTCTTTTTGTGACTGGGTTGCTTCACTCAGGATGGTTTCTTGTAGTGCCCTCCATTTGCCTGCAAATTTCAAGATTCCATTGATTTTTTTCCACTGAATAGTACTCCATTTTGTAAATGTACCACATTTTCTCTATCAACTCTTCAGTTTGGGGGCATCTAGGTTGCTTCCAGGTTCTGGTATTACAAAGAATGCTGCCATGAAAATAGTGGAACAGGTGTCCTTGTATGAATGAGCATCTTTTGGGTATATGCCTAAGAGTGGAATTGTTGGTAGACTTATTCCCATTTTCCTGAGGACTCTCCACACTGATATCTAAAGTGGCTGTAGGAGTCAGTACTACCACCAGCCGTGAAGGAGTATTCCCCTTTCTCTACATCCTCTCCAGCATAAATTGCCACTGGAGTTTTTTATTTTAGCCATTCTGACAGGAATAAGATGATATCTTAGAGTTGACTTGATTTGCATTTCCCTAATGGCAAGTCATGCTGATCACTTTCTTTCGTGTCTCTCAGCCACTTTAGACTCCTTACTGAGAATTCTCTATTTAGTTCTGTACCCCACTTGGTTATTGGATCTTTTTCTGCTTTGTAGACTTGATTCTTGAGTTTTTTTGTAAATTTTGGAGAACAGTCCTCTGTCAGATGTAGGGTTAGTGAATATTTTTCCCAAAATGTGGGTTGCCTTTTTGACTTGCTGACCATGTCCTTTTCCTTACATAAGTAAAAATTCCTATACTCAACAAGATGAAATAGATAATGAAGTATCTTATATGCATTAGTCAAATGCAAATGAAATGGACATTGTTGATGAAACATTTGTTTGTATATATCGTATATATTTATTGCACTTATTGTGTATTTTTTTCTTATGTTAGCAATAGCTGCCTTCTGTTTGTATTAGAGGAAACAGGGGAATCATGGTGATATACAATTTATACTTCATTAAATCTTGCCTTAGCATTCAGAAAGCAAAGCAAGCCTCCAGCTATAGAGGGCTGGCAGTGGTGATAACACGCTTTCTATCCTAGGATGACTCAGGATTAAGAGGTAGAAGGATCTCTATTACTTCAAGCACACGCTGATTATTCAAAATAGATCCAGTTCTAAAGCAACATCTTACATAAAGATGATCTCTGCACTTTGCATCACAGGACTTTAATCCCAGAACTCAGTATAAAGTAGACAGATCTCTGTTAGTTTAAGGACACACTGACTACAAATAAATGCAGCATCTCACACAAAGTGATCTCAGTACTTGAGATCACAGGCCTTTAATGCTAGCACTATGGAGTTGGACACAGGAGGATATGACTTGTCACAGAAAGGAATATGATGAGGAGACAGGATTGCCATATCAGCTGGGTAGAGGTAACATGTACTGCATTAACTGTTTTGCTTCTCTGATATTCAGCTTCAAGCTTGAACCCAAAAAGCTGTCTTTGGGTCTTTTATTTATTGTCATACATTTCATGGAGCACAAGTTGTTAAATTAATGATATATAATTATGCTTATAACATTAAAATATCCTGGATTCCTATGGTTACCCTTTTAATGTGTCTTTCCCCAAAATCCCTTCTGAAATTTGTTGATTCTTTCTATTGCTTCTGTTTGTTAAATGTTTGTTGTTGATTTATTTTTTTGTTTTCCATAGCAGGGTTTCTTTGTTTTCAGTCTATGCTGGAACTCATTGTGTAGACCACAGTGGCCTATATTTCAAAAGTCATGCTTCTCCCTCCCACCTACTCAGATTGAATGTGTACACCAGCAGACATGGCTATCTTTTTCATTATTATTCTGATTTTTATTTTCTCTTGCTGCCCACTGCATTGGGATTTAGCGTAGTTTTTCCCATATATTTCAATTGAAATCAAAACTAATTTTTTGTGCTTTTTCAGGTTTTTATTCTAGTCCCTCAGAATTTTAAATTTCTTTCATAAGATTGCTTTCATTGTGTCCCAGAAGTTGTGATGTGGTTTGTTGTAAATATTTTTCTTTCCAGGAAATTCTTCTTTTCTTCCTTCCTTCCTTGCTTGCTTGCTTCCTTCTTTCCTTAATTTGTTTCATTTTTTCCTGGACCCATTGATTCCATAACAAGTTCATTTAATATTTATCAGGCTTGGACATCACTGGATTTTTTGTCAGTTTTTAGTTTTATTGCAATGTGTTCAGACAGTGTAAAAGGCTCAATTGCCCACCATTGATGGCTTCAATGCCTTATGAGGTCATGAGATTTTGGGGCTCACTCTCACTGATCAGCAAGTTCCCAGCCATTCCTTTTTCAGAAAAGAGACAGGGTTTCTCTGTATTGTTTTGGAGGCTATTCTATAACTTGTTGTAGACCACTTTGACCTTGAACTCATAGAGATTAGCCTGCCTCTGCCACCTGAGTGCTGGGATTAAAGGCGTTTGCCATTAACACCTGGCTCAGAAAAGTGATCTTTGTGTGTGTGTGTGTGTGTGTGTGTGTGTGTGTGTGTGTGTGTGTGTGTGTGTGTGTGTGTATATTAAACAGCTTTAATCTCAGTCATTGTGGTTTCTTGGCACAGTAAGTTATATTGCACATAATCAACATGTTTTGTCCTGGTTAAAGGGACTCTTAATCACGGGTCCAAATTAAGGGATAGAGATCTACCTGTGGATGTCAGGAAAGAAAATGGCAGAGTCTTTGCACTTCAGATTGTCCAACATTTCAGGTAGGATGTTCCTCTGAGGGTGTTTTCAATTTAGAGAAAATTAGAAAAGTAAAAGAGAAGACTTTAGTTTCCAGACCCCATGGGCACCAGGATCAAGTCCATTACAAGGAACAACAGGCCTTTGAAAGCATAAAGCAAGCCCTACTGTCGGCTTCAGCACTAGTGTTCCCTTATGTCAACAAACCTTTCCACATATTGTGATGGGATTGAAATGAGTGGCAAAAGGAATGCTGACCCAAGACTACACCCTTGGGACAGACCGGATGGTTATCTATCCCAAAAGTTCGATTCAATGGCTGCCAGGTGGCCTGGCTACCTGAAGGCTGTGGCCAAGGTAGCCCTGTTTGTGAGAGATGCTGACAAATTCACTCTGGGGCAAGATCTTTTGATCACAGCCCCACATGTACTGGTTGACAAAAACCAGAATGAAACACTACCAAGGGCTATTGCTAAAACCAGACTGCATCTGGTGCCACGATGTTGTCGCACCCAGGAAAGAAGCCAGTTGAACAAGACATTCATGAAATACTTGTCCGGCTCCAGTTATGCCAACATCATTTGTCAAAGATGGTTTCTTTCCCCTCTATCCTTTCAGCTTGTTTGTCAAAGATCAGGTATTCATACATTTATAGGTTAATATAGTGGTGTACAATTTGATTCCATTACTCTCTCTATTTCTCTGTAATACAGCTTGAAATCAGGTATGGTGATGTGTCATGCCCGCCTCTACCAGCAAGGAAGACGCAACACCCAGACTCTTCTTTAAGCAGATTATTCAAGAACCTTAAACAATCTTCTTCTCCTGGGGAGCACCGGGGAGCACCAACCCACAGCTTAAAAGCCCTTGGGCGGCCAACCCCAGTATGACACGTGGAACATGCAGATAGGTCCACGTATGCAGACGCAAGCCTGATATCTAGCCTTAACCAAATACAGGTGTTGTTTATTACAGAGAGCCCCTGCTGTCGGACCAGCAGTAGGCAGAAGCCAGTGCCATATTAAGGGTGTGGCACTTCGCAGCTCTCTACGGTTCCCCCTTTTTTGTTTTAAACGTAACAGGCAAGAGTAGAGGTCTGATCTCTGACATAGACAGGGACATTGTACTGATTTCTCATTTGATGTCATCCACCCAACGAGCATCAGACCTGTCCGATACCCTTTTTTTCAGAGGCGGGACTCTTGGGTACCAACCCACATGCAATCAGACATGCTCTTCTCCCGGTCTCTATTCGCTGACCCAGAGTGCAGTGCTTTGCCTCGCATCCTGAGTGCATTTAATCAGCTCTTAAGGTAGCAAACCATGCCTGGGGGGACTCTCCTGCTTCAATAGCGGTAAAGGCCTGAATGACCATGGCTGCATTGCGTCTTTGTGTGACTCTAATCTTACATAGAAACCACAAGCAAACCAGGGAGACCAACAGCAAGAGACCTGTTAATGCTCCTATACCCGCCCACTCCTTAAGGTGGTTCATTGCAGAAGTCAGCCAAGACGATAATCCCGATGCAAAAGAAAGGTCCACTCTGGTGGAATTCACATGGATCACTACCAGCCTCAACTCCTTCAAAGTATCTTCAAATTCAAGTGACGAATTCTGTAATAGAAAACTGGACGAGTACTTAGACAAATTTGCGGCTTTTGTAAAATTGGCATACTGAACAGATGACATGTGCAAGCCAAACTGCTCCAATCACTAGGTGTCCTTGCTGATCTTGGAACACAGGGAAAGCAAGCCGCAATTCTGTACGTACTTGCTTCCATGTCCTTGGACAATAGGACCATCCAGAGCATGGACGCTGAGTAGTCTGTTCCACTTCTGGGTATGGTGGTGGAACAGTAGGTCTGCAACAGCCCTTCACTTCAATACATGTCATAGTTTTTTCTTTTTTCCTTTTCTTTTCCTTTTTCCTGCAAGCCACTTGCATGGCTGGTAGACTGGGTAGCATTTAATGAGTAGAGGGGTAAAGTGACTAATACCACACTGGCTGTAATAGATCCTAATTAGGGCATTAACTGGCTAAAATATGCCCAGGTGATATGAGGCAGCTGGAGAAAGCTGAGTAGCATTACTAAGGTAGCAATTCACAGACTCAAGCTAAGTGCTTCCATAGAGACTGGATTTGATGAAGGATTGAATGTGGGGGTAAGGATGGATGAGGTCCCTGCCATTCTGGGGAGCTGAGAGATGGCCAGAGGACCCCGGTTCAACTCCCAGCACCCATATGACTGTTTCTTATATGAAGTTGACCGCTTCACTAATCTCAGTGAGAAAAGACTTGCCAAATCCTGCAGTGAGGGAGGGGAAAGCAGAACATTGATCTCAGTTGGCCTGAGCTTCTGGAAGACACCCTTGAACAACAGTGGAGGCTTCTGGGTACAGAGAAAAAGTACTGCAATTAGCAAATTTTCTACACCTGGCTGCATGGTTTGAGCCAAACCATCTGAGCCTGCCTAGCAATAAGCCAAGTGAAGATGGAACACCTGAGTGACCCTTACATTAAACCTGGAAAACTCATTTTGACACACGGTACAGGGTTTTTATAGTGAAAAAGCTCCCCCTAGTATCCAAATCTCTGGCGCTTTCATGTAATTTAAGCTGGAAAATATATCAAAGCCTGGATCATTCCTCGGTCCCTAAAGTACTTTTCTCTATTTTTACTGCTTTGTGCTGGAAGGGGGCGCTGTTCATACCATGGGGATCATGACAAAACTCAAACACCTGTATAAGTCCTTAGTTTCAGGGTCTGTAAGACAGCATCATCTTAGCTGTTTCAATTGTTGGAACACCTGGTCCACTGTTTCCAGGTGTCTTGGTTCATCAAACCACAGAAGCCTAGAAGAAATGCTCAAGGCATTTTTAAAATATATAAGTTGAATTAATTCAGCTGAGTTTATAATTAAGAGTATTTTAGCAGTTGTTCCTTTCTTAGCAATCAAAAAACTGAAAAGCACAATAGGGTAAAGTATCCAGACTTTCTGTGTATTTTTCATCTTTACGTGGCTTATTTATTTATCTATTAAACCAACCACTCTTGTCGAGGTCCCTTAACCAACCACTCTAGTCACAGTTTCTTATTTGTCCCACCTTGCCTTAGGAACTTTACACCTGATGTAAAATTATTAAAAATTAAAAATATTAAAATGTGTCCTTTGAATTTTTAAGCCATTATCTGGAAATGTAGCTTAGTTTGTGAAAAGGCTAGAACAGTATGTACTAAGACTTCCAGTGGACACGGGTTACTTACCTGATATGGATATGTGTTTAGAGCTCCTATTGCCTGCAGGGCCAAGCAGAGTCTTGAGGTTCAAGACTCCTTAGCACAGTCAATCCGTGACTCCAGACTCCAGTATTCTGAGATTCTCCATGGCTGCCTCTTACCATTTTATATACCTTCCAACTGACTCTTCCCCATGAAGCCCCACCCCTCTAATGAAAACTCCCAAATCTCCACCCACTTAATCATGTTAATTATTGATTTATTTTATTCTCCAGCAGATTGACTGAATCTGACAAATCCATGGAAAACTAAAACACTAAATTCAAAAGTCAATATTCCATCTGTGTATATATTGACTTATTTTTATGTGAATGTTCATGCACACTTATATATACGTATGTATAACATATACATATATATTAGTGCATGTGATTTTAGTGTCTATGTGTGTGTTTTATTGTGTGTGGGTATTTGATTAAGTAGTGAGATTTATGGTAGCCTAAGTGTAAAAAATTAGCTTTTGTCTCAATACAACAAACCAAACACAAAACAAAACACACCCCATGAATATGTTGCAGATGAGAAAGAGCTGAGATGGGTGTCGGGAACCTGGAGCCCTCCCTAGCAAGTACTTTATCTCAAAGTGAAAATCATCAGCAAAGCATGATGGGATGGAAATGAAACAAACACTAATGTTTATTAACACCCCGGTGTCATCCTGCATGGAGTACATACACTTCTTTGTCTTAGCATTCCTGAAGCTGAGGCAGGAGAATTTCTGTGAGTTTCAGGCCAAGCTGCACCATACAGTGAAAAAATATTCAACAACAACATCACATTCCAGACAGAAAACCGTGGTGCTTTTCTTGAGGAAAACATTGGAAACCAGGTGCATCAAATGATCTTTTTTTTCCCCTGAAATGGTCTTTTAGAACAAATCCCTTACACAGCCATCCTGAGAAGGTTCCATTTAAGGTACTTGCTCCTATGAAGACTTAAATTTGATGTTTGTGACCCAGGAGAACAGACTCCTGAAGGTTTTCTGTGAACTCCACATGGGCACCATGGCAAGTACCTCACAACCTATAATTTATTGAAAAAATTTTATGTGCTGATATATTATTAATGATTTAATAATGATTGCCTGAAGAATCAAAATTCAAAGCAAGCCATAACAGTTAGTTGTAAATGCTGGGCAGAGTTTGCACACACCGCTAATCCATGGACTCAGGTGACAAAGGATCTCTTTGTGTCAGAGGCCACCCATGTCTGCACAAGTGTGAATCTATCTGAAAGATAAATAGCTCATGCAAAGGTGATCTCAGTACTAGGGATCATGCTCGTTTAAGCTCAGCAGTGAGTAGACACCGAAAACAACGACTCTCAGTTGTATATTTAGGTTCAAGCCACTTTGATGAGAACAGCAGTCTTAGGTGTGGGGAGAGATCCCGGAGACAGGATCAGCTTTCAGCCTGAAGCAGAAAAAGAGCTAGTGGCTTGGCTATTATGCCTCTCTGATCTTCAGTTTTCAGCCTGAACCCCAGTATCTGTCTCTGGGTCTTTTATTAATTTGTGTTGCATTTTTAAAATTTCCTTTCAGCAGGGAACCACTGAGCTTAGACTGATCTCTATGATATCAACTGGGCATGTGTGCAGGACTGCCACCTATGCAGTCAGTGAGATAGGAATGCAATATCAGGAGTTTCATGTCACCCTTGCTATGAGTAGCTTCTACCCCAGTGTGAAAAGCACCAGGTTCTCTAGCAACGAAAGTAAGGAAGTAAGAGAGGGAAGGAAGGATCAATTGTTACATCAATGCTCTTTGACCGAAAACTCAGGAAAAATGATTCAATTAGAAATCAAATAGAGCTGAGAAAGTTGGTACACATGTTTAATCCCAGCCTTAAATCTCACCTCTGGAGAGGCAGAGGCAGGCAAATCTGCGAATTCAAGGTCAGCCTCATCTACAAAGTGAGTTTCAGCAGAGCCAAAGTTACATCTCAAAACACCAAAAAGTGAAAAAGCCTGCCCGACAGGAAGGAATGAAACACCCTTTAGTGTTTCAGGACCCTTGCCCCAAAGACCACCAGGGATACAAAGTTAGCTACAAAATGCAAA